TGTGGGGACATCATCTCGGTCATCTCAGTCAGTCGACCCGTGGCACCCGCTGGGTCTGCCCCGTGACCTCCTGCCAGCAGGCGTTCGACACTTCACGTGGTAGCCTCAAGGTGCACTTGGCCTGGCACAAGCATCGTGGTGACGTCACCGCCACTTAGTGGCGAATGGCGGTTGTTGTTGTTGTTGTGTGGGGACACACGTGTGTGTGTGTGTGGGGACACACGTGTGTGACATTGTGTGTGTGTGTGACATTGTGTGTGTGTGTGTGTGGGGACACACGTGTGTGTGGGTGTGGGGACACACGTGTGTGTGTGTGGGGACACACGTGTGTGTGTGTGTGGGGACACACGTGTGTGTGTGTGTGGGGACACACGTGTGTGTGTGTGTGTGGGGGGACACACGTGTGTGTGTGTGTGTGGGGGGGGACACACGTGTGTGTGGGGGGGGACACACGTGTGTGTGTGTGTGTGGGGGGGGACGCGTGTGTGTGTGTGTGGGGGGGGGGCACGTGTGTGTGTGTGGGGGGGGGGGCACGTGTGTGTGTGTGGGGGGGGGGCACGTGTGTGTGTGTGGGGGGGGGGCACGTGTGTATGTGTGTGTGTGGGGACACACGTGTGTGTGTGTGTGTGGGGACACACGTGTGTGTGTGTGTGGGGACACACGTGTGTGTGTGTGTGGGGACACACGTGTGTGTGTGTGTGGGGACACACGTGTGTGTGTGTGGGGGGGGGGGGCACGTGTGTGTGTGTGGGGACACACGTGTGTGTGTGTGGGGACACACGTGTGTGACCGTGTGTGTGTGTGTGGGGACACACGTGTGTGACATTGTGTGTGTGTGTGGGGACACACGTGTGTGACATTGTGTGTGTGTGTGGGGACACACGTGTGTGTGTGGGGACACACGTGTGTGACATTGTGTGTGTGTGTGGGGACACACGTGTAAAACATTGTGTGTGTGAACAAACGTGAGACATTGTGTATGTGTGGGAACACGCGTGTGTGACATTGTGTGTGGTGTGTGTGTGGTGTGTGGGTGTGTGTGTGGTGTGTGTGTGTGTGTGGTCTGTGTGTGGGGACGACCCGTGCGCCGAGGTTTTCAAGGGCTACCAGGCGTGTCTCAAGGTGTGTGTGTGGGGTGTGTGTGTGTGGGGACACACGTGTGTGTGTGGGGTGTGTGTGTGGTGTGTGTGTGGGGTGTGTGTGTGGGGTGTGTGTGTGGGGACACACGTGTGTGTGTGGGGGGTGTGTGTGGGGACACACGTGTGTGTGTGGTGTGTGTGGGTGTGTGATGTGTGTGTGTGATGTGTGTGTGTGATGTGTGTGTGTGGTGTGTGTGGTGTGTGGGTGTGTGTGTGGTGTGTGTGTGTGGTGTGTGTGTGGGGACGACCCGTGCGCCGAGGTTTTCAAGGGCTACCAGGCGTGTCTCAAGGTGTGTGTGTGGGGTGTGTGTGTGTGGTGTGTGTGTGGGGACACACGTGTGTGTGGGGTGTGTGTGTGGGTGTGTGTGTGGGGTGTGTGTGTGGGGTGTGTGTGTGGGGACACACGTGTGTGTGTGTGGGGTGTGTGTGTGGTGTGTGTGTGGGGTGTGTGTGTGGGGTGTGTGTGTGGGGACACACGTGTGTGTGTGGGGTGTGTGTGTGTGGGGACACACGTGTGTGTGTGTGTGGGTGTGGGTGTGTGATGTGTGTGTGTGGTGTGTGTGTGGTGTGTGGGTGTGTGTGTGGTGTGTGTGTGTGGTGTGTGTGGTGTGTGTGTGTGGGGACGACCCGTGCGCAGAGGTTTTCAAGGGCTACCAGGCATGTCTCAAGGTGTGTGTGTGTGGGGTGGTGTGTGTGTGGTGTGTGTGTGGGTGGTGTGGGTGTGGGGACACACGTGTGTGTGTGGTGTGTGTGTGGTGTGTGTGTGGGGACACACGTGTGAGACAGTGTGTGTGTGGGGACGACCCGTGCGCCGAGGTTTTCAAGGGCTACCAGGCGTGTCTCAAGGTGTGTGTGTGTGGGGTGGTGTGTGTGTGGTGTGTGTGTGTGGGTGGTGTGGGTGTGGGGACACACGTGTGTGTGTGTGGTGTGTGTGTGGGGACACACGTGTGAGACAGTGTGTGTGTAAGGACGACCCGTGCGCCGAGGTTTTCAAGGGCTACCAGGCGTGTCTCAAGGTGTGTGTGTGGGGTATACGTGTGGTGTGTGGGGACACACGTGTGAGACAGTGTGTGGGGACGCACGTGTGTGTGGTGTGGGGACACACGTGTGTGACAGTGTGTGTGACATTGTGTGTGTGACAGTGTGTGTGGTGTGTGTGGGGACACACGTGTGTGTGTGACAGTGTGTGTGGGGACATCATCTCGGTCATCTCAGTCAGTCGACCCGTGGCACCCGCTGGGTCTGCCCCGTGACCTCCTGCCAGCAGGCGTTCGACACTTCACGTGGTAGCCTCAAGGTGCACTTGGCCTGGCACAAGCATCGTGGTGACGTCACCGCCACTTAGTGGCGAATGGCGGTTGTTGTTGTGTGGGGACACACGTGTGTGTGTGTGTGGGGACACACGTGTGTGACATTGTGTGTGTGACATTGTGTGTGTGTGTGTGACATTGTGTGTGTGTGTGTGTGGGGACACACGTGTGTGTGGGTGTGGGGACACACGTGTGTGTGTGTGGGGACACACGTGTGTGTGTGTGTGGGGACACACGTGTGTGTGTGTGTGGGGGACACACGTGTGTGTGGGGGGGGACACACGTGTGTGTGTGTGTGGGGGGGGGGACACACGTGTGTGTGTGTGTGTGGGGGGGGGGCACGTGTGTGTGTGTGGGGGGGGGGCACGTGTGTGTGTGTGGGGGGGGGGGCACGTGTGTGTGTGTGGGGGGGGGGGCACGTGTGTGTGTGTGTGTGTGGGGACACACGTGTGTGTGTGTGTGTGGGGACACGCGTGTGTGTGTGTGTGGGGACACACGTGTGTGTGTGTGTGGGGACACACGTGTGTGTGTGTGGGGGGGGGGGCACGTGTGTGTGTGTGGGGACACACGTGTGTGTGTGTGGGGACACACGTGTGTGACATTGTGTGTGTGTGTGGGGACACACGTGTGTGACATTGTGTGTGTGTGTGGGGACACACGTGTGTGACATTGTGTGTGTGTGTGGGGACACACGTGTGTGTGTGGGGACACACGTGTGTGACATTGTGTGTGTGTGTGGGGACACACGTGTAAAACATTGTGTGTGTGAACAAACGTGAGACATTGTGTATGTGTGGGAACACGCGTGTGTGACATTGTGTGTGGTGTGTGTGTGTGTGTGTGGGAACACACGTGTGGTGTGTGTGTGTGGTGTGTGTGTGGTGTGTGGGAACACACGTGTGTGTGTGTGTGGTGTGTGTGTGGTGTGGTGTGTGTGGTGTGTGTGTGGTGTGTGGGAACACACGTGTATGTGTGGGGTGTGTGTGTGGTGTGTGTGGTGTGTGTGTGGGGACACACGTGTATGTGGGATGTGTGTGGTGTGTGTGTGTGGGGGAACACACGTGTGACATTGTGGCCTGGACTTTTGCAGCTGCTCTAGACTAATTTCAGGGTGCTGATTCCAAATCTGATCTCAGATTTGCTCTATCACATCTCATTTTAATGCTATCGGCATACCCCATTTTCATTGATTTTACCCGAAATTAACTCTGTCACTTATGATTGCAAGTTGTTGCGAGTCAGTGACTGCTTAAGTGTTAGAATATGGTGCTGTGTTTTTAGGATCGTGTGTTCATAATATCATTTTATGTAGATATCCACATTTATTTAGTATTTTTTTTCTGCAGTTTTTATTGCAAATGCAGTATTTGATATCTCTAAAACCTGATGTGATAGACAAACACTGATGCCAAAATTACCTTAAACTTTATGCCAGAAAAAGTGTTGACCAGTGTTATTATCAGAACGATGTTTATTTGCACGTTCAACACAAGTATCTTGGGTGCTTTAATGCGTTAACTGTATCCCTTGCAAAAAGCTACAATATATTTTGGTGGTTTTAACAACTTAACGCAACTAGTGTGTGTTGTTTATTGCCAGAAGAAAAGGGGTAAAACACACCTATCCTTATTTTTTCCATACTTTAATCCGGTAAAAAAAAGTATCCCGTAGATCTACTTGGTTCTTTCGGTAATGTCACGTAGAATGGAAATAATAAAATAATAAAAATAAAACATAATAAAAAAATGTATTTTTTTTTATTATCGATTTAAAGCTTTCGTGACTGCAGGGATGCATCTTCTTGGTTCTTTCGGTAAAGTCACGTAGAATGGAAATAATAAAAGAATAAAAAATAAACATAATAAAAGAATGCTTTATTATTTTATAATAAAAATAAAACATAATAAAATAATGTTTTATTATTAAATTTGGTATTTTTATTATTTTATTATTTCCATTCTACGTGATGACTTTACCGAAAGAACCAAGAAGATGAATCCCTGCAGTCACGAAAGAAGCTTTAAATCGAAATTTATCCCGTAAGATGTTAACTAACCTACTTTAATACCGGCAAAAACAAATGTGTATATCCCAATGATAAGCGTCTCAAGGTGATAGCGACCTCCCGTACCGGGGTAGGGGTGGCAGGGTGGGTTGGGCCGAGCAAAGAGGCGACGATGGCGGCCGGCTACGCTTAGGAAAGAACGGTAAAAGCCTCCGGCCTCGTGCGTGTTGGGTGGAGAGTTTTATTTTATTTTTTAAACAGTGCCGCTTTTATTATTTTGCTTGCGTGTGGTGTGGAGGTGTGGGGGTTTGTTGTTGTTCGGAGGTAGTTGCAGTATATTTTAAAAGTCTGCAATTAAGTTTATTACATCTTGGAAACATCACCCCCCACCTCCCTCCACGCCCGGCCGGGCAAGAGCGCGCATAGCTCGGCAGGGCGGGCTAGGCAAGGTCGGCGAAAGCCTCGGCCTCGTGTGACTTTTTAATTGTAGATGATACAGAGCCAAACGGGTTTACAAATGTCACATTCAGTAGTGGAGTGAGGAGCAGTGGTGGTGTTCATCATCATCGTGATGATGTCTCTCCTTCGTTGTGTTTGTGGTTCGGAACTTTACACCAGAGGTCGCAACCGGGTGCCCGATACCCGTACCCTACCCGATACCCGGCCGGGTACGGGTAGCCGGGTAGGCCGTGAGTGACTGGTGAGTCACCGTTTGTCACTCATTTCCCAACGTCTTGTCTCTTCTCACAATTCAAGTTCCTAGAATCAACCCACCCGCGCCTGCAACATGGCTTCATCCCAGAGGTCGCAATCGGGTACCCGATACCCGTACCCTACCCGATACCCGTACCCGTACCCGGCCGGGTACGGGTACGGGTACCCGTTTGCGACCCTGGTGCAGCCGGGTACGGGTAGACCGTGAGTCACTGGTGAGTCACCGTTTGTCACTCATTTCTCAACGTCTTGTCTCTTCTCACAATTCAAGCTCCTAGAATCAACCCACCCGCGCCTGCAACATGGCTTCATCCCAGAGGTCGCAATCGGGTACCCGATACCCGTACCCTACCCGTACCCGGCTGGGTACGGGTACCCGTTTGCGACCCTGGTGCAGCCGGGTACGGATAGACCGTGAGTCACTGGTGAGTAGCCGTTTGTCACTCATTTCCCAACGTCTTGTCTCTTCTCACAATTCAAGTTCCTAGAATCAACCCACCCGCGCCTGCAACGTGGCTTCATCCCAGAGGTCGCAATCGGGTACCCGATACCCGTACCCTACCCGTACCCGGCCAGGTACGGGTAGGGTACGGGTACGGCCGGGTACGGGTACCCGTTTGCGACCTCTGCCTTGCACTGCAGTCTGTTCTGGATGGCCAAAGTCACACCACTACGACTGGAGCGTTGTTGTTAGTCTACGTGTAGTGTTAGTGCGGTGTTAGTCTACGTGCAGTGTTAATCTACG